TAATAATAATAATAATAATAATAATAATAATAATAATAATAATAATAGGTTGCCAATGTCTCTCCTTGCTTTTAATAGTCTATATTAACTTATTAATTTAGTTGGTTCTTTAGTCTGTCATATTCCCTTTCCATTACACATTCTTTTTATAAATTCTAAATTAATACAAGTTTTAACACTAAAGAAAAAAATAAGTATAGGTTTCCCCACTTTTATTGCTTTGAGGGTGACACCTCAGTAGTTAAAATATACCTTTATTCCCTCATCTTGATTCCCAATAAACCATTATTTTTAAGAAGTTACAATAATAATCATTACATCTTTTCATTTGGATTCCGCAGCATATTTCCCCCCCTTAATTTTTTTAATAAGAGTTATCAATATCTATATTACCCTATTTTCTAAATATTTTTAATTGCAGAAATATTCTTATTACCCCTTGTCACCCTGCAGAACCCCCTTTTTAATTCATCAACCATTATCTCTGAAAAAACAATTTCTTTTCAACATTTTGCTATTTCTGTATTTCTTTATTTCATGCACCTGTTTCTTACTGCTTCTCCTCCCCCTCTTTTCCCCATATCTTTTCTCATTACAATTTATATCCCTCTCTTTCTTAATATCTTCCTTTCCCCTTTTCTGCTGGGTCTTTCTGTCTTTCCCAACTTCACAGGTATTCCCCCTTTTGATTGCCTTCTTAAGTTTCAACTTTTTAACCTTCTTTCTTTCCCCACTTCTTTGTAGCGTGCTTTGTGTTAATTGTCTATTTAAGATGTCTTCTCCTTGAGTCGACTCCTCCTCCTCTGAAGCTCTTTCTTCTTGTTCTTCAATCACCATTTCCATTTTTTTTAACACAGAACAAAGTGATTCGCCTCTTTCCTGTAGTAATTCTCTCATATTTTTAAGTTCCATTTTTAATTCCCGAAGAGATATCATCACTACACACTCTTGTATTTTATGATCGTTAAAGTCCACAAAAAAAAAAACCTTTTACTTTCCTTCTTTCTTCTTTCAATTTTCTAAAGTTCTCAATTGTTCCAACCCAGGGTCTATACCAAAAATATCAATCAATCAAAAACACAGTCAGTCTTTCCTTGCTTTTTTCTTTATTCTAGTTCTGCTTTCACTTTCTAAGATTCTTACTTTGTTTCAATATTTCTTTAATATTATATCCACACAAATTCATTCAGAAACAGGATGCTTTCCCTTTTGTTTGAGCTCAAGTTTTTGTCAAAAGGTGGCACTCTCCATTATACAAAGTCTTCACCTTTCCCCCCTATTTTTTTATTTAGGGTTTTTCGAACCTCAGTATTCCAACACAGTCCAGTCTCCAATTTATGAACTTTATTATTATTATTTTTTGACAATCTTAAGTCCAGCTTTATTTTATGCCTGTTTATTGCCAAAATATTTTAGTCCAATTTAGTTAAATCTTTAGTTCCGGCTTCTTCCTTTCCCGGTTCAAAGCCCCGCTTAGCTGTCAGAAATATTTTCTTATTTTTTTTCCTGTCCCTTTGTAATTTCGCCGCTCACTTTTCTTTTCTTAAAAATTCCATGTTACCTTAATCCCGGGGTACTTTTGTTTAGTTGCTTTGCCCAATTGTCCCGGTTCAAATGTTATCCACCTCTTTCTTCCCTCCTGCACAAATCTTAATCCAGCTGAGTCCTCCTCTTCGGGGTGGCCATTTTAAACCACTGCTGCAGTTGTCTTCGGGGGGGAAAAAGACCAAGCCCAGGGGGAGAGATGCGGCTCTCCTCAACCTTGCTTGCAGCTTCCCCTTACTCCGCCGCCCCTCCAAGGCAGCTTCAGCCCCTAATCGTAATGATCGGGGCTCTCCAACGAAAGAGCACAGACCATAGCCGCAGAGAGATGCGATCTATGGTCTGTCAGCGAGGAGGCTCTGCCTTCTTCCGCCCAGCAAGTATTGTTGTGCTATCAACCAGGTACACACGTCTCATTGGAAGAATTAATTTTCCCTAATTAAAGCAAATATTTTTTTCATATTGAGGGAAAGGGGAAAAGGTGTTTTAACTTTCCAGGGTGAGTCCTGGATTCCTATACCCAACAAGATTTCAGACACTTAATTCTATCATTTGTGGAACTGAAAACCCAGGGAGGGAAAGGGCAGTCTTTTTTGTTTCTCTAACTAGTGAAGCCTGAAGCTCCCTTAAAACTAAGCAAAGTTGACATTGCAAAAATACTGCTATGGGGGAGGTGCTTGAAGCATTCAGCAAATCTCAGTAATAGAGCAGTAATTAGTGTGAACTGGTCGGTTACTATATCCTGGTCCTCCCTCTGTAGTAGTAAAGCCAATTCCAAACTAGTCTTCTGACATGTTTACATTACTCCCCCCTTCCCCCCAGCATGTTGGCATTCCTTATCAATGATAATTTAACTAGCTACTGCTGCTGTTTGGGCTTAAGAAAGAAAGTTAACTAAACCCCAAAATAACAGAACAATCACAGAAATTGCAAATTGAAATAATAATTTTCAAAATAACCAGGTTTTATTGTAAGTATGATTCAAAACTACTGAACTTGAAACTTTTTCTGCTTGGAATAATTTGCACATCTGTAGTGTAAATTTCTTCCAGGTAGTACTTTGTCACACAGTGAATGTGTGCTGACCTATTGCTAGCTATGTTGCTAACCCCTTCAGAGCACATCTGAAACTTAACCTGGCAATGCATGTTGGATTCTATATACTGCTTGTGTTCACTGGATTGGAGAGCCCTTACTTCATCCCTCTTGTCATCTTTTTTTCTTTATTTTTGTTTTATTGTAATTTTTTTGTCAGCCACTTAAAGTCATTGAAAATCTGATGGCATAGAAGTTTAATGCATTATTATTAACCTTTTTTTAAAGGTGTAGTTTTCAAATAATTCCTATCTATTATAATAATAATGGGAAAAAAAAGAAAATACTTCCTTGATTTTCAACTATTTTCAGATGATTCCAGAAGCAAGGCAGTCAGGAATTAATGCCAGCACAGCCACGTCAAGAGGACTATATCATACAGCAACTATCTTTATGGGCCGCCAAATGTCAGCTGTCTCAAGCGTTGAAGATTTCAGTGCACTGCAGAAGTCTGAACTCACAAAGAGCTTTTCAATTTCTGACCCACATTCCTATAGACAACCATCACAGAGCTGCTACATGACAGACAGCTGTGTAGTTCAAACTAATAATGATCTACAGTGCTCAAATAAGTCTGACAAAATAGATGGGAAGACATCTCTGCTGAAAGGTGAAGAAATGCCAGTCATATCCAGTGTATCATATGAGAATGAAAGAGCTTGTTTAACAGGGGAAAGTATAGCAAATAATGACAGCAAAAATTTTGTGGAAAACAATGTCCACCCTGAACCTAAATCTCTGCTACACAGAAAATTAAGTTCTGAGAACATATCCACCAGTTTGAAAAGTTACAGTTCCTGCAAATCACTGACCCGTGAACATTCTTTACTATATGAACAAGGAACTAAAGAGCCAATCTCGTTGATCAATGATCCCGGCATACTTGTTTCTGCCAATGAGTGCTCAGAAGAAAAATTCCCAGGTATGAAGACAATATACCTTTAGGGCTTATAAAGAAAAGGAAGAAAGCAACCCTTCAGCTGTAATTTTTATGATGTCCCATAACTGTAGGATCTACAAATGAAAAAAAAATGAATAGCAAAAGATAATAGGAATGCAGTTAGGAACTACTATACTGTTTACATTATGTTTGGTTTATTTGTGACCTTGCTTTATTTGGAATTGTTTTCTGAGAACTCAGAGAGGTGTTTCTCTTGTTTTCTTTATTATTTAAAGGAGTATATAAAGGTGTAACAGAGCATAATCAAAGACCTTTTAAAATACAGTATTATTCAAGTGAAATACATAGTCACTTGGCCTTTCTAAATATTTCCTGGTTCCATACCTCCGATATTAGATCTGTATTTTGTTTGGCATAGAAATCAGTCTTATTTATGACAAGATTTGAAGTTAGATTTTTGTTAAATTTTTTAAAAGTTAAGCATTTTTTGTCTCATGAAATCTTAGTGAAATAGCTATAGTTCCGCAGATTGAAGAACTGCAATTTCATCTTTATGTTCTTTTTAGGACAATTCAGAATGGATATAAATTAAAATGGAGGGTAGAAATTAATCTCATTAAGCTGCAAAAAATATTCTGTTTCTGACACAGTGTTATTATCTTAATATTCTTTCCAAATATTGTGGGAATTTCTAAATAGAATTTTAAAATGTGGTATTGTTTTCTAAAATATTCCTAAATTTGTCCTAAATTTATCGTGGTGGGTGGTTTTATAAGTGAAGCTAGATTAATCTTGTTTTATTTTTATTTTTTTGAAACACAACATTAAAAACAGTTTTTCTGCCCTATAATAATAATAATCTAGATAGGTTCAGGGCATTATTATAATTGCTTAGAAATAAATATTTAGATTTAATCGTTAAAAACATTTTTGTTACAGTTTTGGGGAGCACCATGCACTTGGACAAAAATATACTGCAGGAGGAAGATAAAAGTTTAAGTAGCAGCACTGATCTTACTGTTTCATTGAGTGAGGAGGAAGAGGAATCGAATTCTTTGAAATTACAACGAAATATAAACAGTACAGATTACAAACTTGATGACATAATATGTAATAATGAAGAATATTTTCAAAAAAAAAATTCAACTGAGCACTCATCTTCTGACCCCAAACTAAGGTAAAACTAAACCAGTAACGTTCATTTGTATTTGTATGGTTAATTTTTATATCTGCTCATTCTACAATTTTGAGTAGTGTACAGTAATAATAAAAGAGGTGACTAAAAACATACCTCACAATTAAAAATTAAAATATAAGTTAAACAATAATAGTAGTATAAGACTAACATCAAGATGATCCAACATTTAGTATTATTAATTGGTAAATACTTATTTAAAGAAATAAATGTTAAAGAAAATGTTGATGATCAACTAGGTGTATCTCTGGGAGTATATTTCATAATGTAGGGGCAATCACTGAGAAGGTCCATCTTCTGGCTGCTGTTTTCCTCACTTTGCACCACAGCTAGTATTGTTGGTATGTCCTCTAGATCAGGGGACACCGACCTTTTGGACCTCAGGGACCACCAAACTCATAATTTTAAATCCCGCAGACCAGGGACCCTGGGAAAATCCGAAAAAAAGTCTGCAGGAAAATTCCCCACCCCGTTTTCCTACCAATTGATCATTCTTTATTTGGGATCACAGGATACCGTCTCCAGCTCCATTCTCGGGGAAGTCTTGTGTTCCCGCAGGCCATGTGGGCGGCATAGCCTTGTGTTCCCACACAGCCTGGATTAATTGCTTTGTGGGGTGCTTTGTGGGTGACATTTCTCTGTGGACCACCAAAATTTTCTTAGGGACCACCAGTGGTCCCCGTGCCACTGGTTGGCGACCACTACTCTAGATGATTGCACAGGATAGATATCTATTCCTTATAAGAGATGATATATGCCATATAGTATCCATTCCTTTCAACGGGTATGGATGTTTTTCTTCCTATTGATCAGTGTAATGAAAGTATGCCTGCCTATTTAATTCAAGGTGTCATCCAATATAGTAAATCCCAGTCTCTCATGCTAACATTTTCACTTTTAGCAGATACGGTACTATCATGAACAACTAATCTGTTTTTGCTCTGTACCGTATAGAAAACCGTTAAAAGTAGCAAAGAAATACCAAAATTAGTTGTGGCAAAGAGATATTAAGATTAAAATGATCTTATTTTCCTAAATTCAGCTTAACACAACTACTCAGATAGTCTTCCAGTTGGGGTGGGTTGAGATAGTGCTTTTCTATCTATAAAGATTCTGAATCTTTATGCAGATAATAGTCATATTTGTCCTTTGTTTGTTTTATTGGGTATTTTTAAATACCTGTACCCTAAATCCTCTGTATAATAATAGTTTCTCTGTCTTTATTCTAACTGCTGTTTACAAATTTTCTAGAATCAGTATTTTAAAACAATACATTTTTATTTCATAAATCAGCTTACATTAAATTTGAGCAATTAAATATATTTAGAGCTGATATGAATACAATATGTAGCTATTGTATATTTTTATACTTTATAATTACTTGCTAGTTATATTTATTCTTTTCTCATCCTTTTAAATTGTGTTTGCAGGATAATGTTTTGACAAGCAACTTCTGATTTGTTATAAGGGAGTTGAAAATATTAATAGTATATACTACAGGATGTCATCTTCCTTAAATCTTAGTTAAATTTCTTTTATTATAATTGAATCACTGTGACAGACATGCCAAGAGTCACTTTAGATTGCAGCAAAATCTAAATAGAATAAATAAATGTATTTATGAAGTAAGATTGAACGTAATTAAAGAATTGATTAATTTTCATGATGTTAAAAACATAGTTCAATTAGTATTTTACATTTTGCTAGATATCCCTTAGAAATAAAAATAACACCTTTATATATGTAGTTTTTATTATATACAGGTAGTCCTCAATTTACAACCATTCGTTTAGCAACTGTTCAAAGTTATAACAGCATTGAAAAATGGGACTTAATGACTGGTCCTCGCATTTACAACCATCAAAATTCAGGCATTTGCAACAAGTGTAACAAGTGTTTACAATGGCTGCAGCATCCTGGGATCATGTGATCACCATTTGTGACCTTCCCAACCAGACTTTGACAAGCAAAGTCAATGGAAGAAGTCAGATTTGCTCAAAAGCCATGTAATTTGCTTCACAACTGCAGTGATTTGCTTAACAATCATGGCTAAAAAGTTCTAAAATTGAATACAAGTCACTAAACAACCATCTTGCTTAGCACTGAAAATTCTGGTCCCAATTGTGATCATAAGTCAAGGACTACCTGTATAGCCTTTATTATATTGTCTCTGTGTTAATTGAAATGGTGTGCTGTTGCAAGTGACAGTAACACTTATGTAAGTTATTATAATTTTACATATCATAAATATGCATTCCCCCCCGCCCGTCGGTACTATTTAAGATTGCAATTTGGCATTGAACTAGACTACTTAAGCCTATTAATATTGATACTTCTAACGTGGGAAATAAATCAACGAATAATCTATTAAATAGCGTATGATCTTTCAAAATTTTTGATGTGTCAGTATTATCAAACTAAGGAAGAATCTTTTTTGCGCTTTGTTGGTTCCCATCACTAACCTGTGCTTCATTTAGAACCTTAGCAAGTCCAGACTCTTCGACTTAGCACTTAGGAAAATAATGAGTATTTCAAGCTTAGGTTTAAGAAGGAACAAGGCTGAGACCTTTTGCTTGTGTTGCTTCAGCTGCATTCAAGAGGACTTAGCACAGATGGATTGTGCATTACAAAATGTAACACATAATTCAAGCTGTCAGCTTAATCAGGCTGTTTCCAGGAAGCAACCTGTAAAGAGAAAGACCCCTTGTTTGCTGACCCCTGATCCATACCCTGCTGCATCATGTCATCCATTTTGCTTTTCTTTATTTATGTGTCCTTTCCTTCCCCTTCTTTTTATTAATGTATTCCCTTCAAGTGGCACCCTGGAAAGACCACCCAGAGGGAGGAGCACAATAGGGAATGACCTAGCTGAAATAGAGATTTTGTAAGACTTCAGTGCAATGAAAAGCCCAGTTGAACTGCCTGTGTGTTCTTACTGGTTCAGTGTGTATTAGTTTAAAACTCAAAACTTCGCTCTGACACCACCTTCATTTTTTCAGCGTTCACCATTACTATTATGGGAATGCACTGCAATCATTTTCAGTAACTTAAATATTTTACAGAGCTGTGTGAATCATGCACACTATGCATTAAAGTTATAAATATTTTAGAAGCTTGGTGGGATCTCTGAATATTGTTTTTGTACTATATTTATAGGCCAGCTGTATGTTTGCTTTATAGAGTTTTGCTGGAACAAAGCTGGCAGACTGAAATAAAAATCTGAACAGCTATTTACAGGTCTGTAAAAGGATTAGCAGTACTCCATTGTTAAAATGCTTAAATCTTAATTTGCATCATTATAGAGGTATCCCATTATTATTATTCCCCATAGTTATGTTTTCCACCTATAGGAATCCATTAGCTTTTTCCATTCATAGAGTTATCATACTTTTTGGTTGTTTTAAATTAGAAATAGCCAAATACTGAGTTGCTTTAACCAAAGTTTGCAATGTCATTGCACTATTGGCCAAATTTGGCCCTAAAATTTATTAAGTTTCTTTGCTAGTCACGTTATACACAGAAATATTACTTCTGCTACAATAGTCTAGCAGAACAGACTCATGTTTTATACACCAAACCAGGACAGTGTTTTACTAGTTACATGAATTCTGCAAACTTATAATATACAATCCTGATGTGAAAACTTGAGCTATGGTTGATACAGGTTTGTATGTCTCATTCTTTTTTTTTTTCCTTTGACATTTAAGGATACCCAATATATATGATGCCAGCTTCACATTGCAAATTTCTTATCTCTGCTTTGTTGATTGCTGCTTGTGAAGATAAACCCTCATACATACAACATTTATCACACTGTTGTATCCCTATCTAAATGTCACCAAAAAAGGGGAAAGAAAAAGTATTTTCAGGTGAAATAGCTCAGCGCTTCAGAGAAGGCATATATATATATATAAATCCTAGATTATTCTCATTTCCAATTGGTCCACTGTGTGTGTGTGTGTGTGTGTGTGTGTGTGTGTGTGTGTTATAAATATATAATGAAATACAGCAAAAGTGCTTCTACTTCCCCATTTAAATTAATATGCCCTATTTTAATAAAAATATTTTAGTAGATTGTTAAACTATGTGTTCTTGCTATTGCATGAAATGCATTTTTTTCTTATTTCTGCAGGGAATGCCTGTCATTTGAAGGGTTTTGTCATGTCTTAACTTTCATAGAAGAACTAGTGGCCAAAGTATCTTCTGGATGCTCGGCATTATACCAGAGAGGAACTGCTAATACAGCAGAACTAAAGAAGCTTATAAGGTCAATGGCTATTTTCATTTAATGTGAAATGTGAGAATGCTACCTATCTACTTGGATTGTGGCTTTAATAACTTCATTTGAATTTATTTCAGATTAATGTTCCACCACAAAAATCCTGGATTGTTCTCATTTCCAATTGGTCTGTTCAGAAGAATAATGTAAAGGAGATGTTTGAACAACGAGGCATGCATAGTGTACAGTATTTCAGGGTTCATATTAAATGGAGTTCAACTGATTAGAGTTCTCAAAAGAGCCTTTTCAGCATATATAATTATTATTGATTTTGGAGAAAGAGCAATATTTGTTTTGTTAAACTGGAGGAAGATAGGAAACCACAGACTTAGTGTGGCACCTTTCACTTCCCTCCCAAATTTGGGAGCTCTCTATAACACTTAGTAACTTTGCCTTCTATTTAAGATAAATATTCTTTTTGGAATAGTCATTCTTACTTTAGTAATCTGTGGCTAAGATCTCTTTATAACAGTGTTGTAGGAACAATTTGATTGTTTTAAAGTCATTGATTCCTCATTATTCTGATTTATTTCGGTAGATTGCAAGTCAGATCCAGACTGTTCTTATTGGCCACACCCTAATCCAGGACTCGTTTTTTTCTCTTTCTTCCTTGTAAAAAGAATTATGTATATATTCTTCACACTTGACAATGTTGGCATTGCAGGCTCATATTTTAGCTTTGCATATGTTACCTTGTGGTAGTGAGCTCAAATCTTGAAGCAGAAATGCTAACTATGAAAAAGGACTTCCTAAATGGCCTATCACATTCTTCATCAAAGACTTTCATTTTACCCAACTGTGTATCACAGTAATTTCTATGATTTCAGCTGGGTAAAATATCAATTATCAGATGTGGAATCAAAGAAGTTTCTTTAGTTATCAGGATGCTACAGGTGAAAAAGTTGGTGCATGTATACACTTTGACCAAATATTAATATATTTGATCAATATATTAATAGTGTTTTAAATTTCATTGATAAAAATAAAATATAATTACTTGTTTTTAAATATCTGTTTTCGTTTATAGCCTCTGTAATAAAGGTGACAACTTGGCACAAGAAAACTTTGAGACATGTGAAGCACTTGTCCTTTATCAACTTCAAAAATTATTGCAAAATACAATGAATGGGTGCCTTTTACAAGATAAAATGCTTAATGACAAAAGGGAAAGACTGAATGAAGAACAAAGCAGGTATGATCACTTAATGTTCACAGAGTCATCATTATAAGTCACATGCTGTATAGGATATGAAATCAAAGCACTTCAAGAGTTGCATGCATCAGGTTATAGTTTAACTATTCAAAATATAGAAATTAAAGATGTTTTATAGAAAAATCCTGTACATGTTTACTTTGATGTAAGTCTCACTGAATTATTCCCAGGTAAGAATGTATAGAATAGGAGCTTTAAAAGGAAAGAGATGAGTAGGAAAAAGAAAACTAGATAATAAGCAGAGCAACAGCTAACACCAGGGCTTACGCAGCATTTGGGTGTCTGAGAATACATAAAGCATGGGTGTCAAACTTGATCGCATCACGTGACATGATGCTTTCTGCCTTTGCAGAGCCAAGTTGGGCGTGGCCTGTGCATGATGTATCCGGTCCATGGGTCACCAGTTTGACAGGCTTGACATAAAGTGTTAACTTAGGCTTAATCAAATTTTTATCATAATAAATTTTTTGAAGTTGATAAAATTACAGAGACGGCCCCATGCTTCTGCAGAGTCATTTGCAAAAATGAATTAAGCAAACGTAAATTCATTTATACTATAAATTCACTCGCCAAAAACAACACCAACCATAAAAACCTCCGATCTCGTCCTGACCTAACCTTACAGCAATGTGCCTGCTCTCGTATACTACGCACTGAACTCAAAAATTGTCTAGACAATGGAGAGAAGGACTTGTACATTGATTACCATGCAGACTGTATAAAAAGAAAGTCACACAACCCACAGCTCAGCATCCAAACCTTCAACCAATCCACCATCATCCAAGACTAGGCACGCATGCCCCCAACTACCTCAATTCAAACTACAACTGGCCTTAAATGCAAGTTACTCAATGCAAGAAGCCTGGTAAATAAAATACCTGAATTTCTCCTGTTACTAAATACGGCTAAATTTGACATCATATTTGTCTGTGAGACATGGCTCAATGCATCTCTCCCTGACTCCATTACCTCAGTAAGAGACTATCATGTTTACCGATCCGATCGTGAAATCCGTAGAGGAGGTGGTGTTGCTATCTTCTATAAAAAGTCCTTACATCTAAAAAACATCCAAGTTACCCAGGAGCTTGCTCTTCCTGAGACCATCATCTGTGACCTATCCTTAAATATCACATTTCGGTTCTTACAATGTTACAGAGCCCCTGATTATGACATCGAACATGTAAACAAGCTAAATACACTACTAACATGGGCAGCATCCTGCCCACATGCTTTTATCTTTCTTGGTGACTTCAATCTACCTCATATTAACTGGACCCTAAACGAATGTACAACTGAACCAATACATGCATTCTTCTACAATGCTGTAACAAATCTGGGACTGGAACAACTAGTAACCAACAATACTAGGCTTAACAACTGCCTCGATCTCATCTTCTGCAATAGTTTGAATTCAATTTACGGAATACAAATAAAAGAACCCTTTTCCAACAGTGACCACAACATGATTGACTTTTGTCTCAACATACGTCCACACAAAAATCATCACAATGACAAAATCCCCAATTATAAAAAGGCAACTATGATCTTATAATCAACTATCTCTCTTCCCTTGATTGGCAGTTTCTATTTACTGGATGCAATACTGTTGAAGACCATTACAACATATTCTTACTAGAAATCAAAAGAGCCATCAAACTATATGTACCAATAACAACTCCCAAAACCAGAAAAAACAGATTACCCATAACAATAAGGAAGCTTCAATCCAAAAAGAAATCACTGGTGAAAAAAACAAATCTGGTCACATTGCCAACTTCAAAAACTGATACAAAAATCTATGCCACTGAATGCATAATTATCACATTAAACAAGAGGAAAACCTATGCACAAATTCCACCCGTGCTTTCTACAATTTTATAAACAAACTAAAAGACCACCCCTGAAAGGACCTAATGGCAAAGACTGCAACGATGACATCATCAAAGCAAACCTCTTTAACACATTCTTTGGCTCAGTATTTGTAAACAGCAATGGACCAAGCCCAGTACTTCCTAGTCGAACCACAGACAACTACAATGATCTAATACGTATCAATTTTACAGAAGACTTTGTTGAAAAAGCACTGTGGAATCTAAAACCATCCCTATCTATTGGACCAGATGGAATATGTGCCTACTTCTTAAAAAAGCTATCCACTGCCATAGCCGAACCTCTAAGCATAATCTTTGAAAAATCTTTCAGGACCAGCTCCTTGCCAAAACTATGGTCACAAGCCACGGTCATCCTCATCTTCAAAAAGGGAGACCACAGCCTAGTTGAAAATTACAGACCAATCTCTTTATGCTGTGTCACTTGTAAAGACATGGAATCAATTATTAACAAATCCATTATCCACTTAGAAACAAACAACCTACTCTCTAATAAACAATTTGGTTTCAGAAAAAAACTATCCTGTAATCTGCAACTCTTACAGTGCAAAAACATGGACTACACAACTCGATCAGGGCAAAGCAATAGACGCAATCTACATAGACTTCTGTAAAGCCTTTGATTCAGTGGTACACGACAAACTACTACTAAAACTAAAATCTTATGGTATCTCTGGACACATACATAACTGGATAGAAGCATTCCTGTCAAACAGACAACTAATGGTCAAAATTGGGAGCATCCTATCAAATTCTGTACCTGTCAACAGTGGTGTCCCCCAAGGCAGTGTTTTAGGACCAACTCTCTTCATACTCTACATAAATGACCTCTGTGATCATATTAAGAGCAACTGCGTTCTCTTTGCTGATGATGTAAAGCTATTCAACGCCACAGACAATACTACTACCCTCCAAAAAGACCTTGACTATGTATCAGAATGGTCAATCAAATGGCAACTTCAAATCTCAACAAATAAATGCTTTGTCTTACATATTGTAAAATCAGAAAATAAAACGCAAGCTAAATAGTCAAGACCTTGTTGATGATCCAAACTTTGTCAAGGACCTTGGAGTACTCACCTCTAATGATCTAAGTGCTAGAGCCCACTGTAACTACATAGCCAAAAAGGCATTAAGAGTTGTTAATCTAATCCTACGTAGCTTCTTCTCTGGTAATATCACACAACTAACTAGAGCATACAAAACATTTGCTAGACCTATACTTGAATACAGCTCATCAGTCTGGAACCCATATCATGTATCTGATATTAACATAATTGAAAAAGTCCAGAAATATTTCACAAGAAGAGTTCTCTGCTCCTCTACTCATTGCAGAATACCTTATGCCACCAGACTTGAAACTCTAGACCTAGAAAAGCTAGAACTATGCCGCCTCTGGTCTGATCTAAATATAGTATATAAAATCATACATTGCAGTGTCCTACCTGCAAATGAATACTTCAGCTTCAATCATAACAATACACACAATAGATACAAACTCAAGGTTAACCACACCCAACTTGACTGCAGAAAATGCGACTTCAGCAACAAAGTGGTCAATGTTTGGAATATTCTATCTGACTCTGTGGTTTCTTCCCCAAACCCCAAAAACTTTAACCTTCGACTGTCTACTGTTGACCTCACCCACTTCCTAAGAGGCTTGTAGGGGGCGTGCATAAGCGTACCAATCGTGCCTACCGTCCCTGTCCTATTGTTTTTTTTTTATTTTTCTTGTAAGTATCTATCTCATGTATTCAAAACTATATTTATTCTTATACCTGTATCTTGTAAGCCAGTGATCCCCAACCTTTTTGACGCCTCGGCCCGGTACCGGCATCAGCTGGGCGCCGCGGCCCGGTACCGGCATCAGCTGGGCGCCACCATCTTTTTTTGATGAAAACGTGCTTCCGGTGAGCTTTCTACCCGGAAAAGCTCACCGGAAGCACTTTTTCATCAAAAAAAGATGGCGGCGCCCAGCAAGCCAGCGGCCCGGTAGGAGTTGTTCCGCGGACCGGTACCGGTCCGTGGACCGGTGGTTGGGGACCCCTGTTGTAAGCGATTGACAAATCAAATCAATACTAAAAATACTAAATGCTTTTGGCAGTGCATCTGTCAGCATGTGCATAAATAAACACACATACACATATACATACTGTATTACTAGTCCACAACTCTTAACACCTAAAACTCCCTCAAATACATTAATGCACATATAATTCCCCTCAAATAGACTCATGTGAGAGATTGTGAGAAACAGAAATGGGAGGAGTTTAGTTTACATGACAAGAGATAGCACAGGCAGGAGCTGAGGGAAGGAAATTTGGATTGTGGTATGCTGCCAAGAGTTGTCTCTGTGTGATGGATGATCATATACATTTGATTAACAATAAATATTTCAGAGATTCTGTCCTAACTGGTTTTCTACGTCTTCAGATTTCAAAATTATAGTCACTTTCATTTCTGGATTATCTGCTCAAGCTCCAGCTGATAATTTACTTGAGTTCCTTGGGACAAGGAACTCCATTGTAGTCATAAAATAAAAAATCATGGGACCATGCAAATTTATGACAACAGTTCCAGCAATTCTGGTTGTGGTTCTTAAACAAATTGTGTTTGGTTGTTATGTGATGTCACATGACTGTGACTTACAATTTCCTGCCAATTTCCTCACTGCTTGTTGGAAACTGGCAACAAAGGTCGCAAGTGGCAAACATGACTATGGAATGCTCTGACTGCCATAATTGTATGAATCATGGTCATGTGACTGGGATGTTGCGATGGCTAAAATTTTGAGGACAAACTGAAAGTCTCATTGTTGCTATATCAATGGTCCTAAGCAAAGACTACCTGTAATTTTGTAATAAAGAACGGGGGGAGGGGCTGCAAGAGGTGAGGCTGAGCCTATACATTGATTATGTTCATTTTTAATTAAGGAATCTTTTTTTAATCTAGGCTATTTCTGTGCTTTTTGTTTTGTTTTTGCTGTTTTCTTTTAATATTGTTATCTGCCTAGAGTTGGGTGGTCATTTACATTGTAATAAATAGTAACAAAATACAGGAGAGAGAACTGATTACAAAAGTCTAATACATTTGACGTGATCCAACATTATTATTGTCTCATACTCTCTAATAGATAAACTGAAGTTAAATACAATGAGAATGAATTTGAGATTTAGATTTTGAGCTTTGACTCTTGAATGAGTTTAGCTTATTAGTCCTCCATCTATCCATGTTCCTGAATTAGTTTGAATTCATTTTTCTATATATTTGCTTCTGTCTGAATGTTCTATAAGAACTAGTTTCAATTCCCTCCTTAAAAATTGTTAAACTTTTTTAGGATAAAATATGATATTTCTAGTCATTTGAATTATATATTGAATCCAAAGTAATGTATCAAACTATCCTAATGAATAATGTTCTCAGGTGTGATGGGATGTGGGAATGACCTTGGGAGACAGGAGAAAGATCCACAGCTTAGACAACATTGCATAAGAGGCAGCTCAGTCTGCAGGTGGGGGGAAAACATGGGGAGCGTTTCAAAAGAGACCCCCTTTAGTGTTCTGGTGACTAAAAAGAGTGGATGGGAGAAATATTTTCAGACTTGTAAGATTCTATTCGGTGTAATCTTACACTAAAGATCATGCTGATACTCCTGGTTGTGCTTCTGGCCTGGACTGCCTTGAAAAGCTAATATTAGGACTCTTGAGAAGACATAAAAAGATACAATAAATCAACTACAGATTGCACAACTGGATTACATGGCCATTAAGTGAATGGCAAAATTCTGAGTTCAGTTTTTGCTAAACGTGGCCTTTTTTGTGTGCATTGTATTTATTATACTCCATCAAACTCAGAAGGTGAATCTTGTCAATTTACACCATAACACACAAAGGTGGGGGGACGGGGACCACAGTAAAAGCACAAAACATCTCAATGACCTAATCAATCTAATTTCATTTATCTATAATTAATATATATCGGAAAAAGTTATTTTAGCAAAAACAATACAGTTTAATAAAAGAAATAAAGATAAGATCCAATAAGAGATCAAAAATATTAAAATCAAAAAAGAATCTGTGTTCTCAATTGATTCCATCCCCCTGGGCTGATGAGAGCAGAAAGAAAAAAGTTTGTCACTCTGGAATTATTCCATATTTAAGTTCTGTATAAACAATATCTCATGCCAACCTATCTGATTTTGGAGCATTTTAAATGAAAAAATTTTGTCCTGTTTTGTCTAGATCTGAATTGGTATCTGATTTTACTAAGATTTGGGAACGTTTAAGCAAACACATCTTATTCTTGCAAAAGTATCACATTTTACTCAGACAAGAAGTGAAAGACATGTTTGGTACCCTATTGATTTTGGAGAGTCATAAACAAGAAACCCCGGTCAGTATGTTACCTAACTTCTTATGTGTTTGGGTAATGCCAGATAATGACACCTGGTGAATGATTTTCAGATGAAGGAATTCTATCTCTGTGTGTATAGCAGTAATTTTAAATATAGACCAGGTAATGTGCTTGCTGAAAGGGTTGTGTTTTTTTTGACAACCAGCTGCTGATTATTTTCTGAAACATGAATGTCCCAATTGCTAGTCAATAACTGGTCAAAATGCTTTGATGCATTAATTTGAAGCAAAGTATAAAACAATTCCTAAAACTTAAGGAGATGAATACATCTTATTTCATATAGTTTTGGGAAAAACTATAAAACCCAAAGTCAAAATTACATTTTTTCCACATCAAACACGAAATTCAGAAGCTGTTTCTACATGGAAACAAAAGTACTTATGTTCTTTTCTTTAATCAGAGTAGTCAGTTTTGTCCATCAACTTCTACAACCATTCTTCCGTGGTAGGTATCAAAGTTTCTTTTTTACTTTATTATTTTTTCTTTTCTTTAGACTAGGTGAACCCCAAACCTGCAGCCGTTCTTCATATGGTTTATTTTCTAGGCCTTTGATCATCTTAATTGCTCCTCTTTGAACTTTTTCCAAAGTATCAACATCTTATTTGTAGTATGGTGACCAAAATTGGTTGCAGTATTCCAGGTATGGTCTTACTAGGGTTTTATAAAGAGGCATTAATATTTCACGTGATCTTGATTCTATGCCTCTGTTTATACAACCCAAGATTGTATTAGCTTTTTTGGCTGCTGCTTCATACTGCTGGCTCTTATTCAAGTGATCATCCACTAGGACTCCAAGGTCCCTCTCACAGTTAACTATTTTTGAGCCAGGTTTCACCTAATCTGTACTCATTTGATTTTTCCTGTCTAAATGTAAACTTTGATTTTCTCCACATTAAAATTAGTTTTGTTGGATAGGGCCCATTGTTCAAGTTTGTCAAGATCTTTTTGGATCCTGAGCTTGTCTCTGGGGTGTTGGCTATTATCTGCAAATTTGATGAGTTCCCCTTCTATTCCCTCATCTAAATCATTAATGAAGATATCTTCAGAAATTCATTTTGAGTGGGATATGATACATTGTGTGGTAAGTACATCACTGGGGCAAAAGGAGCCAGATTTTGAGAAACTTATATCAGGCAAGGTTGTCCTTGCCCTCATTGTTTAAAAAACTATCCATACAACTGCCTCAGTTATCATTTTAATGGCACTGATTGAACAGTTGCTTTTTTTCATACAGGCACATTGCTCAGTAGATGACTTTGTTATGAAATAAATTAAACAAGCAGCAAACTTTACTATAATGTGCTCAAGTCACTCCTTTTATTTATCAATAAGATCCTTATAATATTCAGTGGAGTGCTTGATGCTCTCTTAAGTTGATTGTTTGTTTGCAGACATCTAATAGAATGTGTGAATGGCCTTGGGAGATGAGATGCTGCCTAGAAAACAATCAGACAAAAGAAGCAGGAAAAAACTTAGGAAGGTTCTGTCCTTATTGTTCAGGGGGATAAAAGTGGCAGTGGGAAGTTTATACCACCATACTTGCAAGATTTTATCAATGTAGCCTTATAATAAATTAAAATTAGCTCATCTAGTTGTTTTTCTTATCTGGTTTATCCAGGAGAGCTGACAAGATGTTTTATCACCCAACTAGTAACATCATTAGTCCTGCTCTCATTTTGGTGCCATTCTGCAATAATATGCAACAGTTCAGAAAATACAAGGGGGCTAATACTTTATTTCAGAACTGTATCCATTTTGAAGAAGATCTTGTTGAGATAGTAAATAGCTGTATTTGCTTGCATCTCTTTTGTCAGAAATTGTTAGTTTTTGCCATTTTCTGAGGCTACTACTAACTTACCTGAAAACTAGAATAATCCAGGCTTCTCATGAATGTTCAGACTCAGACATTGGTATCAATGAATAACAAGCATTTTACAGATCTGGAATAGTTCTATGCACATTATTCAAGTTCTCTATGAACCCGCAGAGTAGATGAAGTTGTTTGAAAATGTGGTATGTTTGTTTCATCAGAACATTCTGCACAGGCCTGTGCATGCATGGGTGACTCTTATTCTGTCCAGCTGTCAAAGCAGTTCTTCTGGATGATCTCTCAGCTGCTTCCCAACATCGAGAAATGGATTCGGAATCATGCTGTTGCAAACAATTTGCATAGACCTAAAACTAGTGAATTTTGTCCATATAAGGTCTTTGATGAGCAATTGATCTGAGGGAATTGTACACTTTCTAAAAAAGCAGTAATAATGAGATCTCAATTTTCAGAATTCTCACACACAGAAAAAATAATACAATATACATTAGTTAATTAGTTTCAAAATATATTAAGGCAGGAGCTGAGAGAAGCTCATTTCAGAATTTGCATTTGCTATTATAATTCTGCAAAAATATCAGAATATTTTTTAAAATACTGTTTTATTTCTTTTCTTTAGACTTCTTCAGTGTTGAAAGACTTTGTAGAAGATTGTGAAGACAGATCATTTTCCTGTAACGATCAAACCTCCTATAATTCACAAGCGAAAAATACCCCAGAAAAGCCAGGTAAACATTCAGAATATAGAGAACACAGAAAATAATATTCTGTAAAATATGTTACTCATATTTTTGCATAGAAACATTGAAGAACAAAGGCATAGAAATATATTTGTAATTTGTTAGCAAAAAAGAAACAGAATAATCCATGTTTTAGAAGGAAATACTTTTACTTAGAAAAGTGTTGTTGGATTTTATGATAAATTTGTCTGCTGAAGGAAATAATTTTAGAAGTGGAAGGTAGTGATGTGCTCAGCAAAGGCCATAAGAAACAACCCATTAGAAAGTACAAGTAGACCTCGACATACAACCAAAAATAGAACCGGAACTTCTATTGCCAAGCAGTGCTGTTGTTAAGTGAGTCTTGTCCCATTTTATGAACTTTTGTTGCTGTGGTAGCTAAGCAAATCATGCAATCATTAAGCAAAATCCAGCTTCCACTTGCCTTTCCTTGTAGGAAATCTCTGGAAGGTCTCAAATGGTAATTACATGACTCTGGGACCTGCAACTGTTGCAAACATGTACAGGTTGCTAAGCAACCAAATTTTGATCATGTGACCAAGGAACAGTTCAATGATTGTAAACACGAGAACAAGTTGTAAATCATGTTTTTCAACACCATCGTAACTTCAAATGTTTGTTAAACAAATGATAATAAGTCGAGGACTATCTGTAGATTCTTTTACATAGTATTGATAAGCAATCATACTTTGTTTATTTTAGTAGAATTTTATCATTTTAAGAGCCCTGGTGGTGCAGTGATTAGAATGCAGTATTGCAGGCTAACTCTGTCCACAGTCTGGAGTTTGATCCTGACCGGCTCAAGATTGACTCAGCCTTCCATCCTTCCAAGGTCAGACCCAGATTGTTGGGGGCAATATGCCAACATTGTATACCACTCAGTGCTGTAAAGCACTATGGAGTGGTATATAAGTCTAAATGCTATCGCTATTGCTATCATTAAAAGAGAGGCAGTGATTTAAAATAATTATTTAGATTTAATTTGTGTGTATGTCTGTGCCTGTGTCTTTATGTATTCTCTTGGGATTAATAGCCAAGTTGGTTAAGTTTTGCTGGCAAGCGTTTGCTGACGTTAAATACAGAGCCTCAATATACCATTGCTGTTTTCTTTGGCAAATAAACAGAGAGAGTAACAGCGTATTTTACTAAAGTTCACAGTAGGATCCTTTGTAAAGAACTGTAATGGACAGTTTAGATCAATAAACAAGAGATAACAAAAATGAAAAAGTAAAGGGAATGGGACTTGAAAAGAAAACAAAGTGGTTTGATCACTGAGTTTGAAATGTGTTTCATTATTGTTTGTGTTCACACACAAAAATCACAAGCTGATGTAAAGATGAAACTAACAAAAAAACTTCCTAGAAAAGATGGATATTGCAGGTAAAAGTAATGGCTGTATAATAGGCTCAAATGTGCTGTTTACCTTTATTATACAATAAAACATTGCATTTCAGTGGCTTGTGAATTATCCTCATTTTGAATAAATCCAGCTACTACATTCTAGGTTCAGGCATAAAATGCAAGAACGCCTATGTCATGACTGCTTTAAGTCTTTGTAATCATGTTATATGTTTTAAACCTTGTGAATATCTATCATTTTAGCCTTTCAGGTCTTGGTATTGGTCTTACAAAGGTCAGTCACCATGGGGAAGAATCAGTAATTATATGGCAAACTACACGTTTCTGATTTGATTCTTTTCTTTTCAGCAGTAATTGAACATATATCATTAGGGTAAGAGCTCAGGAAAAAGTGCCAGACTAAAGCAGAATTTCTATTTCAGAAAGCATTTTGATAATTTAAAACATTTTGCAATAAGATCTTATCAGAATCTGTTACAGATTTCTGGTAATTGCATTATGTTTTTTAAAAATAATGTGAAATATAGCATGGCAGGTTTTTCTTGTTCTTTCTTTCATGTGTGCATATATTAGCACCTGTAACAAATGCAGATCTGTAGTCAACATTTTACAATAATTTTATTTTTAAAAAAGAAACAAACTGCACACATAAATATAGAAATTTACAGTATAACTGCATGTCAACAAGTAGCATAAAATTAAAGGATAAATGTGAAAAGTTATTGGGTTTTTTTAAAATATGAAAAGTGCTTTAATATTTTATGTATATTTCTCTTTCAGCTTTTTTTTTTTTTAACAAATCTCTAGTTAGGACCAGTTCTACAGTCATCAGTCATAATTCTTTTAACAGTGTTAAAGGGGTTACTAAACCAGTGTAGTAAACTCTTTTTACCTTCTAAATTACCTTCTATAAAGAATAATGTTCTGACTTTATTAAAGGTCATCCAAGAAGATTGGTATAGATTTTTTTCCATTAGCTAACAGAAAAAGGTACAATTTCCAATTTTCATGAACGTCTGCCAAACCAGGAAAATCCAGGCTTTTCCAACCAATGCTTTTTATACCTTTTTTCCTCAATTTTGTGAAGAAAAACTGTGATAAAATTCTAATATTTAATAAAAGACAAAGTCCAGGTAAATATGCCGTGTTCACCTCCCTTGACAAAACTTTAAATACCAATTGATAAATGTATCCTCATTTGATGTAAGCAAAAGAAGCTGCTCATTCTCACAACTATCAATTTACTCATGTTGTCCTTATAATTCATTTTTAATTTTTTTTCTTAGTACAATTGTATGGTACTGTATATCTTTGGAACAGGAATAAAAGTTTAGCTTATCTTGAACAGAAGGTAGCTTTTTGGGGCACTGAGGGGTCCATTTACTCCTCTATCTATTATTAGGTATTTTATATCCACACATACCATAGTCACTCCTTAAGGTTCTTTTTTTACCTCCTGACCATCAGCTGTTCCTATGATCAGCTGTGCCGGGATTCCCCTCCTGTTTTACTGCTTCGCCCAGGAGGCTTCCCTGAGGCCCAGGAAGGCAAAACGAGGGAGGGGGGTGCAGCACAAACATACACCCCATGCTCCATTTTTTGTCTTCCTGGGCCCCAGGGAAACTTCTTGGGAGCAAAAATGCCCTCCTAGGAGGCTTCCCTGAGGCCCAGAAGGCCCCAAAATGGGGGTTGCTATGCACCCCCTCCAGGCTCCATTTTTTTTCTTTCTGAGCCCCAGGGAAACCTTCTGGGAGAAACCCCCCCCCCCCGAAGTTTCCCTGAGGCCCAGAAGACAAAAAATGGAGCATGGGGTGTATGTTTGTGCTGCACTCCCCCTCCCCCATTTTGCCTTCCTGGGCCTCAGGGAAGCCTCCTGGGCAAAGCAGGGGGGGGGGAATACAACAAAACAAAAAGCCACACCCACCTAGCCACGCCCACAGAACCAGTTGTTAACCACCAAACTCATACTGAGTTCCTTGCTTCTCCTCTACTGCCTCCTCCTCCTCTTCCTCCTCCAGCACCTCCTTCTCTGGGTAGGGCGATTCTGAACTAACCAAGCATGCTAAGGCAACTCGGGCGCTACCGCTGCTGTGGCTTTGCTTGCATCTCCGAGGCTTTGATGTTGGGAGAGGCAGCAAGGGCTAGAGGAGCTGAGAGCTGTGCACTGCTCCATCTCCCTTTCCTTGTTTGCCTGCACGTGGGCGCAGAGGGGAGGGGGAAGGAAAGAGAGGCAGGAGCAATTCAAAGCTAGAGAACTAATGGGAGAGCTAACAGTGGGCGCCGGGGGTGGGGACTGTTGTTGCCACTGCTCGTCATGCGTGGAAGCTGGTTGGCGCGTGCATCTCAGGGACCTCTCTCCGGGGTCCCTCGAAGAGCTGGGAGGCGTGATCTAAACCATTTTAAAATGACAACTTCAAGTAGCAGTGAAAAGAAGCTGCAAAACTTTTACAGTGGTGCTCAGAAGCAAAAACAGAAAACAGGCAGGAAGAGAAACCGGTAGAACTTCCCAAGTTTAGTTTGTTTTTCTGAAATCATAGTGAGGAGAATACAAAGTCCAGGAATAGAAAGTAATAATCATTGTGATCAGGAATAAAATGAAACACAACATTCACTGAATGGCATTTGGGCCACTCAAGATTTTCCTGCAGACCAAAGGGACCCTTTGAATATCAGACAACTACTCACACCATCTGTTACTGACCAAAACAAAGTACACGCCTCTTCAGTAAGAGGCCAAGAGGGCAGCAAGGATGCTGATGCCACCTTAGGTTTTCTCTTGTTTTCTACAGACAGAGCTCATTTTAATGAATCTATGGCTGTGGGGGTTTGGTAAATAGACCATCCACCTGGTCCATTTCCAAGGGAAAGTGATAAAAGAATCAATTATTTAACCATAAAAGAAATCTGGGGTGTAAGTTCAACAAGACTCTGCTCTTTGATTTAAGATTAAGTGCATCGCCCAGCACATTGGTTCTTCCAACTAGGAAACAGAATGAGTGGTTAGATGATTAATACTTGTGGTTAACCTCACTTAAAAAAGAAAAAAATGGATTCTTGAAGCATGAGATCCCTGTCGCTGCTGATTTGCAAGCAATGCTGCTCTAGAACCTAGAATAGAATGGTCAAAGCTTTTAGAGGCAGATGCTTGATAGAATGATCAGATTCACCATGATCTTGGCTCATTTTAACTTGCTCGTTAGAGGTTATCACTTTGATGGGGAGGAAACAGTGCTTTGTGATGTCATGCTGACTTCATGACCGCAGAAATGTCTTCGGAGACCACTGTCTCAACAGCTCTTGAAACAGAGATGAGCCCCATGCCCTATAGTTGGTTAAATCCACAGGGACCCATTTCCTTTTCTTTTCCTTAGAGGTTATAGACAGAATAATATAAATTTCCCATGGATTCTGTGAAAATTTACTCTCTGTAATCATTCTTTCTGTAAAATACAATTTGTTGGATCTTCTGGACAAGTTGTTAATAGCAATAGCAATAGCAATAGCAATAACAGACCTATATGCTGCTTCACAGTGCTTTACAGCCATCTTTAAGCAGTTTACAGAGTCAGCACATTGCCCCCAACAATCTGGATCCTCATTTTACCAACCTCGGAAGGATGGAAGGTCAA